GTCAGCACTCGGTCTGACTGAGCGCCTCCAGGAAGGAGGCCCAAGCAAGACGCGCCCCGAGGAGCGTCTTGCCACATGTCAAAACTGGGTCTGACTGAGCGCCTCCAGGAGAGAGGCCCAAGCAAGATGCGCCCCGAGGAGCGTCTTGCCACGTGTTACCACTGGGTCTGACTGAGCTCCTCCAGGAGAGAGGCCCAAGCAAGACGCGCCCAGAGGAGCGTCTTGCCTTATGTCAGCACTTGGTCTGACTGAGCGCCTCCAGGAGAGAGGCCCAAGCAAGACGCGCCCCGAGGAGCGTCTTGCCACATGTCACTACTCGGTCTAACTGAGCGCCTCCAGGAGAGAGGTCCAAGCAAGACGCGCCCCGAGGAGCATCTTGCCAAATGTCACTACTCGGTCTGACTGAGCGCCTCCAGGAGGGAGGTCCAAGCAAGACGCGCCCCGAGGAGCGTCTTGCCACATGTCACTACTCGGTCTGACTGAGCGCCTCCAGGAGAGAGGCCCAAGCAAGACGTGCCCCGAGGAGCGTCTTGCCACATGTCAACAATGGGTCTGACTGAGGGCCTCCAGGAGAGAAGCCCAAGCAAGACGCGCCCAGAGGAGCGTATTGCCACATGTCAACACTGGGTCTGACTGAGCGCCTCCAGGAGAGAGGCCCAAGCAAGACACGCCCCGAGGAGCGTCTTGACACATGTCAACACTGGGTCGGACTGAGGGCCTCCTTGAGAGAAGCCCAAGCAAGACGCGCCCCGAGGAGAGTCTTGCCACATGTCAACACTCGGTCTGACAGAGGGCATTCAGGAGAGAGGCCGAAGCAATACGCGCCCCGAGGAGCGTCTTGCCACATGTCACCACTGGGTCTGAATGAGCGCCTCCAGGAGAGAGGCCCAACCAAGACGCGCCCCGAGGAGTGTCTTGCCACATGCCAACAATGGGTCTGACTGAGCGCCTCCAGGAGAGAGGCCCAAGCAAGACGCGCCCCGAGGAGCGTCTTGCCACGTGTCATCACTGGGTCTGACTGAGCGCCTCCAGGAGAGAGGCCCAAGCAAGACGCGCCCAGAGGAGCGTCTTGCCACATGTCAACAATCGGTCTGACTGAGGGCCTCCAGGAGAGAGGCCCAAGCAAGACGCGCCCCGAGGAGCGTCTTGACACATGTCAACACTGGGTATGACTGAGGGCCTCCAGGAGAGAGGCCCAAGCAAGACGCGCTCCGAGGAGTGTCTTGCCACATGTCACCACTGGGTCTGACTGAGCGCCTCCAGGAGAGAGGCCCAAGCAAGATGCGCCCCGGGGAGCGTCAGGCCACATGTCACTACTCAGTCTGACTGAGCGCCTCCAGGAGAGAGGCCAAAGCAAGACGCGCCCCGAGGAGCGTCTTGACACATGTCAACACTGGGTCTGACAGAGGGCCTCCATGAGAGAGGCCCAAGCAAGACGCGCCCCGAGGAGTGTCTTGCCACATGTCAACACTGGGTCTGACTGAGCGGCTCCAGGAGAGAGGCCCAAGCAAGACGCGCCCCGAGGAGCGTCTTGCCACGTGTCAACACTGGGTCTGACTGAGCGCCTCCAGGAGAGAGGCCCAAGCAAGATGCGCCCCGAGGAGCGTCTTGCCACATGTCACCACTGGGTCTGACTGAGCGCCTCCAGGAGAGAGGCCCAAGCATGACGCGCCCCGAGGAGCGTCTTGCCTTAAGTCAGCACTGGGTCTGACTGAGCGCCTCCAGGAGAGAGGCCCAAGCAAGACGCGCCCCGAGGAGCGTCTTGCGACATGTCACTACTCGGTCTAACTGAGCGCCTCCAGGAGAGAGGTCCAAGCAAGACGCACCCCGAGGAGCGTCTTGCCACATGTCACTACTCGGTCTGACTGAGCGCCTCCAGGAGAGAGGCCCAAGCAAGACGTGCCCCGAGGAGCGTCTTGCCACATGTCAACAATGGGTCTGACTGAGGGCCTCCAGGAGAGAAGCCCAAGTAAGACGCGCCCCGAGGAGCGTCAGGCCACATGTCAACACTGGGTCTGACTGAGCTCCTCCAGGAGAGAGGCCCCAGCAAGACGCGCCCCGAGGAGCGTCTTGCCACATGTCAGCACTCGGTCTGACTGAGCGCCTCCAGGAGAGAGGCCCAAGCAAGAAGCGCCCCGAGGAGCGTCTTGCCACATGTCAACACTGGGTCTAATTGAGCGCCTCCAGGAGAGAGGCCCAAGCAAGACATACCCCGAGGAGCGTCTTGCCACATGTCACTACTCGGTCTGACTGAGCGCCTCCAGGAGAGAGGTCCAAGCAATACGTGCCCCGAGGAGCGTCTTGCCACATGTCAACAATGGGTTTGACTGAGGGCCTCCAGGAGAGAAGCCCAAGCAAGAAGCGCCCCGAGGAGAGTCTTGCCACATGTCAACACTGGGTCTGACAGAGGGCATCCAGGAGAGAGGCCCAAGCAATACGCGCCCCGAGGAGCGTCTTGCCACATGTCAACAATGGGTCTGACTGAGGGCCTCCAGGAGAGAAGCCAAAGCAAGACGCGCCCCGAGGAGCTTCTTTCCACATGTCAACAATGGGTCTTACTGAGGGCCTCCATGAGAGAAGCCCAAGCAAGACGCGCCCCGAGGAGTGTCTTGCCACATGTCAACACTGTGTCTGACTGAGCGCCTCCAGGAGAGAGGCCCAAGCAAGACGCGCCCCGAGGAGCGTCTTGCCACGTGTCAACACTGGGTCTGACTTAGCGCCTCCAGGAGAGAGGCCCAAGCAAGATGCGCCTCGAGGAGTATCTTGCCACGTGTCACCACTGGGTCTGACTGAGCTCCTCCAGGAGAGAGGCCCAAGCAAGACGCGCCCAGAGGAGCGTCTTGCCACGTGTCACCACTGGGTCTGATTGAGCACCTCCAGGAGAGAGACCCCAGCAAGACGCGCCCCGAGGAGCGTTTTGCCTTATGTCAGCACTCGGTCTGACTGAGCGCCTCCAGGAGAGAGGCCCAAGCAAGACGCGCCCCGAGGAGCGTCTTGCCAAATGTCACTACTCCGTCTGACTGAGCGCCTCCAGGAGAGAGGCCCAAGCAAGACGTGCCCCGAGGAGCGTCAGGCCACATGTCACTACTCAGTCTGACTGAGCGCCTCCAGGAGAGAGGTCCAAGCAAGACGCGCCCCGAGGAGCGTCTTGCCAAATGTCACTACTCGGTCTGACTGAGCGCTTCCAGGAGAGAGGCCCAAGCAAGACTCTCCCCGAGGAGCGTCTTGCCACATGTCAACAATGGGTCTGACTGAGGGCCTCCAGGAGAGAAGCCCAAGCAAGACGCGCCCAGAGGAGCGTCTTGCCACATGTCAACACTGGGTCGGACTGAGGAACTCCATGAGAGAAGCCCAAGCAAGACGCGCCCCGAGGAGAGTCTTGCCACATGTCAACAATCGGTCTGACAGAGGGCATTCAGGAGAGAGGCCCAAGCAATACGCGCCCCGAGGAGCATCTTGCCACATGTCACCACTGGGTCTGAATGAGCGCCTCCAGGAGAGAGGCCCAACCAAGACGCGCCCCGAGGAGTGTCTTGCCACATGCCAACACTGGGTCTGACTGAGCGCCTCCAGGAGAGAGGCCCAAGCAAGACGCGCCCCGAGGAGCGTCTTGCCACGTGTCAACACTGGGTCTGACTGAGCGCCTCCAGGAGAGAGGCCCAAGCAAGACGCGCCAAGAGGAGCGTCTTGCCACAGTTGAACACTGGGTCTGACTGAGCGCCTCCAGGAGAGAGGCCCAAGCAAGACGCACCCGGAGGAGCGTCTTGCAACATGTCAGCACTCGGTCTGACTGAGCGCCACCAGGTGAGAGGCCCAAGCAAGACGCGCCCCGAGGAGCGTCTTGACACATGTCTCCTCTGGGTCTGACTGAGCGCCTCCAGGAGAAAGGCCCAAGCAAGACGTGCCCCGACGAGCATCTTGCCACATGTCAACACTGGGTCTGACTGAGTGCCTCCATGAGAGAAGCCCCAGCAAGACGCGCCCCGAGGAGCGTCTTGCCACATGTCAACACTGGGTCTGACTGAGCACCTCCAGGAGAGAGGCCCAAGCAAGAAGCGCCCCGAGGAGCGTCTTGCCACATGTCAACACTGGGTCTGACTGAGCGCCTCCAGGAGAGAGGCCTGAGGAGCGTCTTGCCACATGTCACCTCTGGGTCTGACTGAGCGCCACCAGGAGAGAGGCGCAAGCAAGAAACGCCCGAGGAGCATCTTGACACATGTCAACACTGGGTCTGACTGAGCGCCTCCAGGAGAGAGGCCCCAGCAAAGATGCGCCCCGAGGAGCGTCTTGCCACATGTCAACAATGGGTCTGACTGAGGGCCTCCAGGAGAGAAGCCCAAGCAAGACGCGCCCCGAGGAGCGTCTTGCCACATGTCAACACTGGGTCTAATTGAGCGCCTCCAGGAGAGAGGCCCAAGCAAGACGCGCCCCGAGGAGCGTCTTGCCACATGTCACTACTCGGACTGACTGAGCGCCTCCAGGAGAGAGGCCCAAGCAAGACGTGCCCCGACGAGCATCTTGCCACATGTCAACACTGGGTCTGACTGAGTGCCTCCATGAGAGAAGCCCCAGCAAGACGCGCCCCGAGGAGCGTCTTGCCACATGTCAACACTGGGTCTAATTGAGCGCCTCCAGGAGAGAGGCCCAAGCAAGACGCGCCCCGAGGAGCGTCTTGCCACATGTCACTACTCGGACTGACTGAGCGCCTCCAGGAGAGAGGCCCAAGCAAGACGCGCCCCGAGGAGCGTCTTGCCAAATGTCACTACTCGGTCTGACTGAGCGCCTCCAGGAGGGAGGTCCAAGCAAGACGCGCCCGGAGGAGCGTCTTGCCACATGTCACTACTCGGTCTGACTGAGCGTCTCCAGGAGAGAGGCCCAAGCAAGATGTGCCCCGAGGAGCGTCTTGCCACATGTCAACAATGGGTCTGACTGAGGGCCTCCAGGAGAGAAGCCCAAGCAAGACGCGCCCAGAGGAGCGTCTTGCCTTATGTCAACTGTTGAATAAAGATTTTCGATTCCTCCAGACCTGTCTTATTATATAATAGCAGTTCTGGATTACATCTCAAATCTGTATGTTAGTGAAACCAGGCTTCAGGGTTCAGCTAGAGGTCTGTGTGTGGTGATTTGACTCCTGATCTCATGCTGCAATAAATGATGTGTGTGTTTCAACTAATCTGCTATCCATGACAAATTTATGTTGTAGTTTAACCTTGTATCGACTTTTTATGGTGTAGCCTAGGATGTGATAAGAACTTCAGGGACACGTATAGAGATGTTTATGTTTGACTTCCTTTGATCTGAGCTGAAGAAGGAAGAAGGAGGAGGGAAGACCCCCGCCCATCTGACTGATACCGGAGGGGGCTGGGAGAGGACCCAAGGCCGGAGAATGTTTCCGAGGCAGGGGTTGCCATGGAGACGGAAGGGGGGCTAGGAGGAGAGAGTTGAGGAGAATAAAAGGGTGAGGGCTCCGTGGAGAAGGGGTCGGTCTGGGGCTTTTTTTGGGTGTTTGGGAAGAGTTCGGAGGACAACTGTAACGGTTGAGTGATCTGACCCGCTGCGTCGGGAAATCTGGAATATTTTTACTTCATCATATAAAATAAAATATTTGCTCCTTCATATAAGGGGCTTTAAACGGAATTTCCAGCCTGGGGTCTCCAATCGTGTCGTGTAACAGCTGAAAGGTGAGGCGCTGGTTACTTTTTGATCCCGCTCCAAGAGGTTTACATTTAAACTTAAAGTCTTTAACCTGGGCATAGCATAAGCTGCAGGTGACTGAGTTGTGGTGAAGTTATAACAAGAGTCTTCCTTTGTGCTGCTAAAGTATGTTTGCCAGAGTCTAAATCTAGGTAAAGATGATCGCTGATTAGCTCACAGAGGTGTAAGCTCAGACTGGAGTCACGCTCACGCACAAATAGAATTACAAGTCAACCCTGAGACGTAGTGTTTATTAAAGAGTCAGCTAGTTTGGGAGGATGACTTGTAACATGGCGCCCAATAACGTGGGGCTGTGATTTCGCAGTTGAGTAGAAAACAACCTGTTGTGAGCTTAGAAAGTCCGGAACTGGGAAAATTGTCCGCAAGGGCGGACAATTTGTCCCTAAGGAGCCGGCTATATTGGCCGAAGGGGGCCGCTTAGGGAGCCTATGAGTTTAGATTCTGAAGTCCAGTAGCTGGAAGTGTGTTGGAACGCACTGGTCCGGTTGGATCGGTTCCGTAGAAGTGCGTTTCTCTCCACCAGGTGCACACGGCGCACAGGGGTTTTTGTGAGAACCTCTTAGCAGAATTCTCACACGCAGGAAAGTGAGGGGCCTCGTAAAAGATTCTCACAAAGTAGAATTAAATCGCAGGTTGCAATTCCTGACCTCGTGGACGTAATCCGGGGCAGAACAGCTAAGTTGCTGCTGGTGTGTGTGCACGCACACCCTGCCTTTAAAGGACAACGATTTTGATGCGAAGTGATCTTTATGAGTAAAGGTACTCGTGTAACTGAGGGAAATTTAGGGATGGCTGCAGTGAGCGAATATGGCTCAGGGGAGGAAGAACGCGGGGAGAGAATGGCTGATACTGAGAGCTTGTGGGCTCGTGATGACCCAGCTAGAGTGCGAGCAATATTTTCTGACTATTCCAAGGTGTGTTTCGAGCCTCCAGCATCATTGGTGAATGCAATTAATGTGAACGGTACATCAGAAACTGGTGTTGCGCTGGCGATAAAGCGCAGGTATCCACAAAGTCATGATGCTATCATGGCTCAGAATCCTCCATTTACTATAGGCAATGTAATGACGTACAGACGGTCTGCGATCGAAGCTGGGGATGGGGTACGTGAAATATTACATATAGTAATTGATCCATGTGCACCGGGAACTCCTCATGATGTGCAAGTTGAGCAATTAACTAGATGGTATGACTGTGTGAGAGGAGCAAGTAACACGGGGCATGTGGCTACCTGTTTGCTGGGGACAGGAGAATTTGAACATACCATTAGAGCCTCACTGGAAGCATTAAAAGCTGTAATAAATGTGGACACTGACAATATTTGGACCGTGGTTCTGACCACGGAGAGTTTGTTTAGAGCAGCATGCCAAGAGCTGAACTTAAAGGAGTGGCGTCCATACAGAGCTGCTTCACACGCTCCATTACAGCTGTATCCCGACCCACAACCCCCACCTGTCTATGGTGAAGTGGTAACACCAGCCAGATTTGAACCTGTGAATAAAGATTATAGAGATGGCATCTCTTCATCTGAAGAAAGTGGTAATGAGTCGGGAAACAGTTCTGAGAATGGATCAGATGACCCAGCCAGCGCTTGGGTGACGGATATATCAGCGCTAGAAGCGCAGTTAAAGCAAGGGACATATTCTTCTGGTCTCTCCTCCGGGTTGATCATGCTGGAGGGAGACTTGGGGACTAGAACCCTCCCGGCACCTGAATGGGTCTTGTCTGTTCTTGTAAAACCAGGTACAAATCTCTGTCGGGTCCCTGCGCTGGCACCCATAAGGCGCCTGGCAGGGAGAAAAGCTGTTAAGAGCTGGGGACTCTATGAGCCTGCAGGTGGGACTCCGGTGTGGTTAGACCCAGGAGAGTCAGCCATGAGAGCTATTGTGGTCATTTCTAACGCTGTGGGCTCAACTCCCAGGAGTGAGTTGAAGCGCTGGCGGATACAAACGGAACGAGCTGTGCAGGCTGCAGACTTACGACCTTCTAGGGTGATTTTTTACCTGAGAAGTACAAAAGATGTGATGTTGCAAACTCATAACAGAAATGATATGGTGTATGCAGCTATAACCAGTCAGTGGGCTGGCAGAGTGTATGAGCCTGCTATCTGGCTACACAAAATGGAAACTGCAGCAAGGGCTCTTGCTGATAGGAAACAAGCAGATCTGGACAACCTCCCACGGAAGGAAGTGACATGGGCTGCTTCTCACACACCTGTGGGTGCGAGGTTTGGGCCTCCTAATAGAAGTCCACATGACCATGCCAGGGCAGAACCTTCAGCACCAAGGCCATTAACCCCATCCGCGCCTGTTTGGGCCCCGATAGCGCATTCCACAGGAATGACACCTACTGGTATGAGTGGGCTTCAATACCATCGCCCCTCACCCATCTATTCTGGGAACAGCTCTCACCCATTATGTCACTCAAGTAGTGATGAGGAAGAGAGGAGGAAGACGTGGATTGGGCCTGAGGGGGGTGTTGAAGGCAGAGCATTGAAGAATAAGAGGAAAACTGTGCCAAAAACACATGCTGCAAGATACAATCAAAATGACCCCCCTTTCTCTGGGCCGTGGTACCGTGGCTTCAGACCTCTCACTGAGGGGGATGGTGAGCCAGAGGTGTTAAATAATCTGCCTGGTTGGTACTCTGCAAGGGGGGAGGCAAATGTGATTAGACATGCCAAAACCAGTGTGGATGTTAAACAACAACCAAACTGGACTGAGCCTTTTAAGAATCAGTTCCTTAGCAGTGGCTATGATTTTTATCGAAGTGGCTGCATTCAAAGGGACTGTGACGTGGAAGCAGAACACAGAGCGGGCAGTAACCCCCACCCTTCCACTTCTCAGGAATGTGAAGGAGGGGTGCAAGTTAGACCCACCGTTGCAGATCAAACTCTGGTAGGAAGAGCCGGATGTCTCTCGGCCCTGGCCAGCCTTATGCCTGATAGGAAGATGGGAGAGCCACAGACCCGTTACCTTACACGTTTGAGGCAGGCTGGCTTGACAAATGAGGATTTAGCAGATCCGAGCATGATTGATCTCCTGCGGCTGAAGCAGGGCGTGAGATTGCCAAGGGCAGAGATAATGGCTGAGTTAACCGTATCCCGGGTACCAGGACGTGACTTAGTGGACGAATCTATAGATCGTTTGGTGGAGGAAGTGAAGAGAAAATTGATACCTCTGAGGACGGCTATGTTGTCTGTGCAAGAGGAAGGAGCAACGGTCATACAACAGGAACGAATGTTAGCATCACTTCCTGACGCGGAGTCTCTCGCTGTTAAATGGAAAAGTTTGACAAAAAGTGAGCAGATTAGAAAAATGGATAATTGGGAACTCAAAAGACAGATGAGAGATCAGTCAAAAAACGCGAAACCCCCCCTGGAGACGAGATCAGACGGCCAGGGGGGAGCAGAATCGGCTCGCTCACAGAGGCGAGGGAGGGAGATGGAGAGTCAGGGAGGAGACCCATACAGAAGGGGTCTCAGGGAGAACGGACCGGGGGATCGACAACGCCCAGGTCCGCGGGGGTTACCGGCAGATTGGATTCCGGCAGACGAGTATGCAAAATTAACGCCGGAACAACGATTTGCTCATCGCCGTATGAGGGAGGAAAGGTCGAGGAGGCTCCCAGTGGAGTCTCAATCATCCCAAGTGAATACCCAAACTACAGATTCACCCGCGCCGAGGCAATAGATGCCATTACGAAGGTGGCACACGTAGAGTATCCTTGGCTGGTTTGTGTGTACAGAGGATTGAAATTCGTCATTGATACTGGAGCTAACATGTCTGGTTTGGAAGAAACGCATGATGCAATAGAGGTTAATGAGTTACGATCAGCACGTCTAGCAGATGGGTCAGATATCGATTTCCAACCCGTGTTCAATGACAAACTGCCCGCTCTATGCATGCCTGCGCCGAAAGATGCTAGTTGGTTGTGCATTTCAGACTTGGTGGAGCTTGTGCAAAATAATCTGTCTGATTTTACTCATCCAGCAAGCCTTGCGCCAGAACATGATTTTCGGGTGGTGGTGAGAGGAGCTGTGGTAGATGTGGATAAAGAAATGGACAGGATTGTACAGGGAGCTTTGATTGATGATAAACAAAAAGCCCTTCTCAGACACGGCCTAAAAACTATTAACTTTGCAAAAAATAAAAATGACTGTGGATTGTACAAAGGTGAGCCAAATGTAATCAGAGCTACCCCTCCCCCGCGTGTACCTCAGTATCCAATAAGGAGGGGGATGGAGGATTTGAACGAGTTACTCGTTGACCTAACACGTCAGGGTGTTCTGGAAGAGGTGAAAGAGAGCCTCACAGTGACACCTATCCAAATGGTGCCTAAACCGAACGGCAAATATCGGTTGGTGCATGATTTGAGAGCGTTGAATGAACTGTTCCAGACCTGAGATATAAAGTGAACCCTCAGAGGGCCAGGACGCAGGTGCGCCCTGGGAGATACAAAAGCAGTCTGGATTTGGCAAACGGATTCTGGTCGGTACCAATTTCTGTGGAATCCCAGAAGCTAACAGGTTTCCAGGTGGGAAATAAGACCTTTGTCTGGAAGAGACTGCCTCAGGGGTTCATCAATTCGGGAAATGTGTTTCAGTCGATCATAGAAGATGTGTTACAAGGAGAAGACGTCGTGATCTATATAGATGACATCTTGCTGACAAACGACGACCCTGAGCTTTTGCTCAGAGACTCTTTGCGTGTGATGAGGAAACTGAGTGAAGCAGGGTTTCTGATTGCCCTGGACAAGACTCAGCTGGTGACTCAGGACATAAAGTTTCTGGGCTATCAGTACACTCCTGAAGGGAAAGAGGTGGATGTGACAGTTTTTGAGAACATCACGCTGCCAAAAACCCTGTTACAGCTTGAAGGGGTATTGGGAAAGCTGGGGTTTTTTGTTGAAAATATACCACAGCTGTCAGAGAAAATGCAGTCCCTCCAAGCCTTAAAGCGAGGGCTCAGGAGCAGACTGGGGGGACGATTAATAACTAATGACCGTGCGCTTACATCAGAGGAGATTCAGAGAGTGAGAGAGGTCATTGAGTTTTGCAAAAACAATCATTGTGCTTTGGAGCACAGGGACACAGAGAAACCGCTCTGGATCAGAACGGATAAACGTGACGATGGGTTCACGGTGTATGCTGGAAATGATGGGTCTGAGCGCGCGGTTGCCATGTGGGATTCTACATGGAAAGGCCCAGAACGTGACAAGTTTCTCCCATGGGAGAGAGAACTTGCAGCTTGGCATAAATATTTGTTTCCCATCCTGTGGTTAGCTGATGGTCAACCTGTGTTACTGTACACGAGGGAACCAGAGCTTTGGAACTTCACATCCACTCACATGATTCCTGGCAAAGCCCTCACGTCCAGGAATGAGAAATGGGATGCGATGTTGCTTGACCCCACCATTTCACTGATCCCGGAGGGATCTGATGTGAAACCTAAGAAAAGAAAGGAGAGTGACCCTCCTAGGGACCCAGAGAAGGGCGTCACCTACTACACGGATGGGTCTAAAACCCAGGATGATGTTATGGCATTCTGGGCATGGATTAAATATGTAAATAACAGGAAGACCTCTCAGAGAAAGGGGAGGATTGCAGGTTCTGCTCAGAAAGCAGAGCTCACAGCTATTTTGGAAGCTATGGTACACCATGTGCGGACGCATGGGAAATCCCCTGCGCTGATCATCACTGACAGCGAATGGGTGTGTAAAGGGGTGAACAATGAACTCCCCACGTGGGAGAAGCATGGGATGACTAAGGGTCAGGCTGGAGGTCCTGTGAAATTCACAGACGAGTGGGCTTTGATCGCTAACTGTCTAAGAAAAGGTAACTTCCAGGTTCGACACCAGCCGGCTCACACACTGAGTGACACCTCTGCTGCCAGAGGAAATGCTGCGGTGGACAGGCTGGTGCAGGCAAGAATGGTGAGACTGGTTTTGCATGACAGTACAGAGTCTGACCACGACCTGGTGAAGAAGCTGCATGAAACTTTGGGGCACCCTGGTTTTCAAAGGCTGAAGAAGTGGTGCTTGCAGAATGCAGTTTGCATCCCCCATTTGGACTCTGTGCTGAGAGATGTTAAATCACACTGCGCTCTATGCTTAGAGCTGGGTAAACAACCCACAGAGAAAGTGGTTGGTGACCGTATTGGTCCAGAAGGCTTGACCTCTGTCTCTTGTGACATTGGAGAGCTGAAGAGAACACAAAAGGGCAACAAGTATTTCCTGGTGGTCAAAGGGAACAGGGGGGAGAATATAGGGGGTATGTTCCCTTTGCCCAATATGACAGCAGGAAGGATTGCAGATTGCCTAGCGAGAATAATGGTGTGTTATCCACAAATAAAAGCTATCAGGATGGATAATGCACCACATTTCAAAAATAAAGTTGTTCTGGAGCTACTGGAGAATGAAGGACTAATAATCCAGTGGTCCATCCCTTACAAGCCACACACAAATGGAGTGGCTGAGAGAGCAGTTCGCACCGTTAAAGAGGCGATAAAAACCTTGAACTTGAAGGAATGGGATTCTCCAGGTGCAGTTCTGGCTGTTAATAGGGCTCTATTAGAACAGCCTTTAAGACAAGAATCTGCTAAAGACACACCCTCTGTCTCTCCACAGGGAGAACAAGAGAGAAGCTTCCTGCATAAAAGACCCCAGGATGGAAAAGTTGAAAAGATTGAGGGGAACCAGGAAGGTAACACAATCAGATGTGCAACCCCTAACCAGAAAACAGTCTGGCTTGGAGACTGTAAAGAAGTGGGTCCCACTAAATGAAGGGGGAATTTCATCCCCAATATGGCTGCTGAGTGCATCAAGTTCAGGGGGGATTACATTAGGTAAAGTACGAGGGCGAAGTTGTGATGAGGAGTGCTTCAGCTGGTCAGTTTACAGACCGGGTACATGCGCAAACTGTGGCAATGAGGTTGCTGAGATAAGGTGGGAAGGCCCGAGATTTCTTAAAGACAAAGTTCTGAGAAAAAATCCTTCACCCACAAATGTTGTGGAATTACATGGTGTGATGAAAGTGGCGTGGTGTGGAGATTGTTGGATGAGTAAAGCAGGCAAAACAAGAATTGGTCGTCTGGATCATCATAGTGTTGATGAATCTAGAAAATGTTGCAGAGTGGACAAAGGAAGACTCTCCAGTTGTTCCAGTTCATGTGGGGTGCGAATTTACCCTGTGGTGTTGCTGGTTCCTGAGATGAGTCACCTGTCAGGCTTGACATGCTCCCAGGCATATTGGGAGAATTGCTTTAAAGAGATAGTGTGTACTAGAAAGGGAGGGAGTTTGAGTGAAACTTTCTCACCTTGGGGAAAGGTGCTGTGGGAAGCTACTGAACCACAGCTGTGTTGGAGAGACAGGCGAGGCAAGTTTCCTGTAACCACTGACGAGTGGGAAAGGAGACAGGTTCGTCATGAGACAACAGATAAGGATTGGTACACCTCAGCTACTGTACCAACATGTAATGACTTGTCAATAACCAGAAGTCAGACGCAAGTATTAGTTAAAACAAAAAAAGGCTGGAAGAAGCTGGATGTCTGGAGAGACTCACTCAAGAAGAGTGATGGTGTTTTAATAGCAGTAAACTTGGAGTGGGATCGGCACGCGGAGACCCCCAGGCTATTTACAAGGGACACCGTGGCTGCGCCAAGGCCACAGGTGGATTAAGAAAAATGTGTATGATGAAGCTCTCTGCCTAATTCTCCTCGTCTCTACAGGCAGCAGAGATTCATGGATTCCTGCGGAGAGTGGGAGGAGGAGGAGCTAGATCGGCTCCTCACACGACCTCCTGATAAGACTTGCTGGGAGAGTTGGAGAGGAGGTATCTTATGTTGTATCGGCTTATTAATCTGTGTGGTAGCGATATCTTTTATCTCAATGCCTGTTTCACGAGTTGTAACACTCAAGACCACGGCTGTGGTTAAAGGGTGGGTTCACAAGCGACCAGGAACCCTAGACCTGCCTAGAGTGTCGTGCTTGACTCCTCATGAGGAGAACTTTAATGCCACTCAGTGGATGGAATATTGTAAGGCTGTTACACAGGGCTGTCCAATCCCTGATCCAGGCGAGGCCTGTAGCCCCACATCTACCGGCTGGCTGATGTGGTTAGAACAGCTCAATAATGTCACCGACAGCCATAACTCTACTTATGGGCTGTTAGGATGGGAGGAAGGAAAGCTTAAAGTGTGGGATTTCACAGTTGATGTACAACCTGTGGAATGTATTACTAAAATTTACCATTTTGGGGTACTAACTGTCTGGGGAGAATATATAACTGGTTTTGATAAGGTTTCTGATTGCATGATATTCAGACTCCTTGCGTTCCCGAATGGAACTGCAGCTGGGAATGATAGCTGGGCAATGGAGGGGGGTTCCCTACCCCCCATGTCGCAGCTGATTGCTCCACAAGACGCAGACACGGCTGTGACCCCTCACTTGAGGAGGCAGACGCGTGCTGCTAAAGAGCAGACGAAAGGCCACAGGCTTCCTAGTCCACAGAGTATTTGGTTGGACAGAACCAAAGCTTTTTCAGCTTACAAAATGATCCCTTTAGGAAAGGGAAAACAACTGTTACCCATGACATTGCATGTAACCCCAAAGGGAGTTAAATTAAACTTCATTCATGCTCCGCATGTGCTGAACAGGAGCTTGATAGATGGAATGACAGAATATTTTATGATCATCCCACGTCTGGCCTGGGACAAAGGAGAGGCGGATAGCGTGTGGAGATGTATTAAGAAATTAACTAGTGACCCAAAATACCCCAGAACATGGTGGAATAATTATATATGGAAGTTAATGTCCTTAGGTGGACATGTACGAGGTCCTTTTCCTGGTATGATTCCGAAAACGAGTCATGATGCATGGCTTGTGAATAGCACATCGAAGAGATGGGCTCTGAATGTGTCATATGAAATGTGGACGGAGGATGTTCATGGCTTAATGGGACATTTTGCCCCGAACGGGTTCGATAAGCCAGGGCGAGTGACAGAGTACGATGTCCTTTTTGGACAATGGTGGGCTACCAATCTGACAGAAGGGGTGTTAGAAAGCAGGCCTAAAGAGAGACTCGGCTCTACAATCTTTTGGATGGCTAATTTACTGGCGTTGTTGAACCCAGCTACAGTCCCAACGATTAAAGACGTAAATGTGAAAAAAGGTGTAAATATGACTCCTCCGTTCGTGAGGATGGAGAAACATGGCAGTTTAATAGAACTGACTATGGTCCGATCTCAAGGTCCGCATCTAGATGATTTGTACTCCACCCCAGCTTATTCAAAGTTTCGGTTTATGAATATGACATGGGGGCATTATACTGGAGAGCTGCGAGACTTGGAGTATGATTATGCGTATCGCGAACAAGCTTTACGATTCAGGGAAGCACATTGGGTGCGAAATTCTCTGTTAACCAGGTGGTGTAGGTCTGATGCGTGCTTCAGAACTTTGGCCCAGCCCGCTACGAAAATTGCTGTTAGAAATGGGAAAAATGTGTATAATCCTTATGAACTGGGCGGCTTTGTTGACCCTCACGGTTACCCCCACTGGTGGCACTCAAATTGGAGCAGCTACGTCGTCTGGGACTCAGAGAATTTCCCATCATTAGGAGTAGGATGGGGTTACTTTGCCAACTCGAAAGGCCCCAAGGCTTGTTTTTGTCAGGAGGACATAGATGCTGTTGAATACAGGAGCGACTTGGGTATATGGCCCTTTCAAGCATGGATTCCTGTTGGTGGGGGTCGTTGGGAGCAGAACTGTTCTGGTTCCTTTCATTTTCCCAATCGGACAGGCACATGTTGGTTGAGTGAAAGAGCTAGGATGTCTGATTGGGAATTTGTCCAGAAGGGTTTTAAAATTATTGGCCAAGGATTAACCTTAGGTATCAGAGAGGCCGTTAAGGTGGTCGCCCAGGGAGCAATGGGTGTTGCCTCTCTGATAATCTCTGAATTATGGGTTTACGCCAAGGTCCCTGTGATCGTAGGAGGGGTCCTGGTGATGTTATCTGTTTGTGTTAAACTCATGCATCTTTTGAAGTGTTTTGCCAGCTGCAACAGGAGATCTGCTAATCAGCCCCGATGGCAGGAGGAAGGGCCTCCTGAGTCAATTAGATTGGGACCACGTGGACGCCGGGCACTCAGGAACAGAGCTGTACGCAGGTAGCATCTCCCTTGTAGAGAAAGTTCTCAAGGTATCATGGCCCGTGCAGAATCTCCACGTGAGGTATTTGAAGAAGCAGATGAGGATGTGCTGATTACCTCGGTAAGACTGTCTCTATTGGGTTAATCTTACCGGCGAGATATGCTAATATTAGATGCACAAGAGGCCTAACTGAGGACTCTTGGAATGTTGATGTGATAACTTCTGCTTAATGCATGATGGGAGAATGATTGGTACATCCTGTTATCTGATCAGGATGGAAAGGCCCACTTATTCATTGTGGTTACTAATTTGCATGCTGTAACTTGTGTAATTCCTGCGGGAAGCAGTGAAGACCTGTGACCTGGATTAGAGGTCTCTAGGATTTTTACATACCTATTAGTGGCATGTTTGATATCATTATATGGATGTGTTGTACTAACAGAATTAATGATGAAGAAGTGTCTGGCTGCATTTTGTGAGAAAGACCTGACCTCATGTTCACAGAGGATGGTAGGGTGCCGCTGACCCCTAGTGGGGTCGTAAAGGTCATGCATGACTGGTACCAGAACCAAGGTCTGTTTAGTGTCTCTGTGTGTGTTTTTAGGTTGATGAATCAGAGGATCTATTGCCTGGCCCAGACTCTCAGGAGATGCTGGTGCTGCCACCCAGTGGACAGAAGCCGCTGATGAACAAGCAACGTCGGCTTGGGGTGATGCCACCCAAGAGAGTTTCACTTTACGGGCTGGTGGATAGTAAACCTGTAAGAATAAACCCGAATGGACCGTGGAACGCACATGTTTGGGAACGTATTGTGTTGGTCTCTGATGGTACCAGTCATAAAGGGACTCGAGTGGCGAGGAGGGAGAAGATTCTTCAGAGAATTACACGCTCGACTCTAGTTAAGCATTTTGATTGTGTCAGGCGCGATGTGTCGCGGGGCCAGACGCGCTTGCCCTGTCAACTCTCACATTTCAGAGAAGGCGACGTAGATTGGTGCTGGATCAGTACACCCCACAACGACTACGTGCAGGAGTGCGAAGAACCAAGGCGTGTGGTCAGGATGCAACCATCACCTGCCAAGGTGGACGTTCCGATGCAGGAAGTGAGCCCTCCGGAGTTCGATCTGCGTCGGCAGCTTCAGGCCGCTCCGTCTGTCCAGGCCATGGTGCCACCAGTGATGAATGCAATAAATCCACATGTTTACTTGTATCCAGGAAATTTGAATATGCAGTATTTCCCGCAGTTTATGCCATTTAACGAAGCTTGGTTTCAAGGGGGGTGTTGAATAAAGATTTTCGATTCCTCCAGACCTGTCTTATTATATAATAGCAGTTCTGGATTACATCTCAAATCTGTATGTTAGTGAAACCAGGCTTCAGGGTTCAGCTAGAGGTCTGTGTGTGGTGATTTGACTCCTGATCTCATGCTGCAATAAATGATGTGTGTGTTTCAACTAATCTGCTATCCATGACAAATTTATGTTGTAGTTTAACCTTGTATCGACTTTTTATGGTGTAGCCTAGGATGTGATAAGAACTTCAGGGACACGTATAGAGATGTTTATGTTTGACTTCCTTTGATCTGAGCTGAAGAAGGAAGAAGGAGGAGGGAAGACCCCCGCCCATCTGACTGATACCGGAGGGGGCTGGGAGAGGACCCAAGGCCGGAGAATGTTTCCGAGGCAGGGGTTGCCATGGAGACGGAAGGGGGGCTAGGAGGAGAGAGTTGAGGAGAATAAAAGGGTGAGGGCTCCGTGGAGAAGGGGTCGGTCTGGGGCTTTTTTTGGGTGTTTGGGAAGAGTTCGGAGGACAACTGTAACGGTTGAGTGATCTGACCCGCTGCGTCGGGAAATCTGGAATATTTTTACTTCATCATATAAAATAAAATATTTGCTCCTTCATATAAGGGGCTTTAAATGGAATTTCCAGCCTGGGGTCTCCAATCGTGTCGTGTAACAGCTGAAAGGTGAGGTGCTGGTTACTTTTTGATCCCGCTCCAAGAGGTTTACATTTAAACTTAAAGTCTTTAACCTGGGCATAGCATAAGCTGCAGGTGACTGAGTTGTGGTGAAGTTATAACAAGAGTCTTCCTTTGTGCTGCTAAAGTATGTTTGCCAGAGTCTAAATCTAGGTAAAGATGATCGCTGATTAGCTCACAGAGGTGTAAGCTCAGACTGGAGTCACGCTCACGCACAAATAGAATTACAAGTCAACCCTGAGACGTAGTGTTTATTAAAGAGTCAGCTAGTTTGGGAGGATGACTTGTAACATCAACACTGGGTCTGACTGAGCGCCTCCAGGAGAGAGGCCCAAGCAAGACACGCCCCGAGGAGCGTCTTGCCACGTGTCAATACTGGGTCTGATTGAGGGCCTTCTGGAGAGAGGCCCAAGCAAGACGCGCCCCGAGGAGCATCTTGCCACATGTCAACAATGGGTCTTACTGAGGGCCTCCAGGAGAGAAGCCCAAGCAACACGCGCCCCGAGGAGCTTCTTGCCACATGTCAGCACTCGGTCTGACTGAGCGCCTCCAGGAGAGAGGCCAAAGCAAGACGCGCCCCGAGGAGCGTCTTGCCTCATGTCACTACTCGGTCTGACTGAGCGCCTCCAGGAGAGAGGCCCAAGCAAGACGCGCCCAAAGGAGCGTCTTGCAACATGTCAACAATGGGTCTGACTGAGCTCCTCCAGGAGATAGGACCAAGCTACACGCGCCCCGAGGAGCGTCAGGCCACATGTCACTACTCAGTCTGACTGAGCGCCTCCAGGAGAGAGGCCCAAGCAAGACGCGCCCCGAGGAGCGTCTTGCCACGTGTCAATACTGGGTCTGATTGAGGGCCTTCTGGAGAGAGGCCCAAGCAAGACGCGCCCCGAGGAGCGTCTTGCCACATGTCAACAATGGGTCTTACTGAGGGCCTCCAGGAGAGAAGCCCAAGCAACACGCGCCCCGAGGAGCTTCTTGCCACATGTCAGCACTCGGTCTGACTGAGCGCCTCCAGGAGAGAGGCCAAAGCAAGACGCGCCCCGAGGAGCGTCTTGACACATGTCAACACTGGGTTTGCACGCAAGGGCCTGTGTGTGTGTGTGTGTGTGTGTGTGTGTGTGTGTGTGTTGACTGATTTGAACACGTCCTTTGTTTCGCGTAACGCTTGAGCTGTCTCGAGCGTGATGTTGTGAGTGTACACCAATGTTTCGCGTGCACCGAGGTCCGGAAAGGCGTGCGCTACAACTATTAACCTTGGTTTGGGAGTGTGGCGAAACGCTCGCTCCGCTGTAATGGGCAGATGCAATGTTATCACCTGGTACGTTTCGTTAGTCGGGTCGTAACACACCGGTCCGTCACACGGACCGTCACATTGTATGGGGCTTATACTATTCAACAGGTTGATCATAATAATGTGTATTAAACCCACAACCTAGCACTGAGGACAGAGGGACTTTATTTAAATTAGTACTTAATGGAAACGATACATAATGATACATAAGAGCCATGTCATACATTCAGCCTAGGAATAGTAGCATTGTGCACTATTAAAAATATATACATCAATTGCTCGAATCCCATTGTTGCAAAGTAAAACTCTAATAAAACTCTAGTCTGACATCAACAGAGAAGACTTAGTGTATGTACTACAAATACAGCATTAGGATTTCGAGTGGACCGTGCACCTGGTGAACCATCAGAGGCTTATGACGCAACATATCTTCCAGTTCTGACTGAGCGCCTCCAGGAGAGAGGCCCAAGCAAGACCCGCCCCGACGAGCGTCTTGCCACATGTCACTACTCGGTCTAACTGAGCGCCTCCAGGAGAGAGGTCCAAGCAAGACACGCCCCGAGGAGCGTCTTGCCACATGTCACTACTCGGTCTGACTGAGCGCCTCCAGGAGGGAGGTCCAAGCAAGACGCGCCCCGAGGAGCGTCTTGCCACATGTCACTACTCGGTCTGACTGAGCGCCTCCAGGAGAGAGGCCCAAGCAAGACGTGCCCCGAGGAGCGTCTTTCGACATGTCAACAATGGGTCTGACTGAGGGCCTCCAGGAGAGAAGCCCAAGCAAGACGCGCCCCGAGGAGCGTCTTGCCACATGTCAACACTGGGTCTGACTGAGGGCCCCCAGGAGAGAGGCCCAAATAAGACGCGCCCCGAGGAGCGTTTTGCCACATGTCAACACTGGGTCTCACTGAGGGCCTCCAGGAGAGAAGCCCAAGCAAGATGCGCCCCGATGAGCGTCTTGCCACATGTCAGCACTCGGTCTGACTGAGCGCCTCCAGGAGAGAGGTCCAAGCAAGACGCGCCCCGAGGAGCGTCTTGCCACATGTCAACACTGGATCTGACTGAGTGCCTCCATGAGAGAAGCCCCAGCAAGACGCGCCCCGAGGAGCGTCTTGCCACATGTCACTACTCGGTCTGTTTGAGCGCCTCCAGGAGAGAGGCCCAAGCAAGACACGCCCCGAGGAGCGTCTTGACACATGTCAACACTGGGTCTGACTGAGGGCCTCCATGAGAGAAGCCCAAGCAAGACGCGCCCCGAGGAGCGTCTTTGCCACATGTCAACACTGGGTCTGATTGAGGTCCTTCTGGAGAGAGGCCCAAGCAAGACGCGCCCCGAGGAGCGTCTTGCCACATGTATACAATGGGTCTTACTGAGGGCCTCCAGGAGAGAGGCCCAAGCAAGATGCGCCCGGAGGAGCGTTTTGCCACATGTCAACACTGGGTCTGACAGAGGGCCTCCAGGAGAGAGGCCCAAGCAAGACGCACCCCGAGGAGCGTCTTGCCACATGTCACCTCTGGTTCTGACTGAGCGCCTCCAGGAGAGAGGCCCAAGCAAGACGCGCCCCGAGGAGCGTCTTGCGACATGTCACTACTCGGTCTAACTGAGCACCTCCAGGAGAGAGGTCCAAGCAAGACGCGCCCCGAGGAGCGTCTTGCCACATGTCACTACTCGGTCTGACTGAGCGCCTCAAGGAGAGAGGCCCAAGCAAGACGTGCCCCGAGGAGCGTCTTGCCACATGTCAACAATGGGTCTGACTGAGGG